AGGAGGAGGATGAGGAGGAGGGGGGGGAGAGGAGGAGGAGGAGATGGGGAGGAGAGGGGAGGATGAGGAGGATGAGGAGGATGAGGAGGAGTGAGGAGGAGGAGGAGGAGGAGGAGGAGGAGGGAGGAGGCGGAGGAGAGGAGGAGGAGGAGGAGGAGGAGGAGGAGGAGGAGGAGGGGAGGAGGAGGAGGAGGAGGAGGGAGGAGGAGGAGGGGGGGAGGAGGAGGAGGAGGAGGAGGAGGAGGAGGAGGAGGAGGAGAGGAGGAGGAGGAGGAGGAGGAGGAGGTAGGAGGAGGAAGTCGGCGGCGGGGGAGGGAGGGGGGGAGGTGGCGCGAGGGAGGCGGCCTCCCAAGCAGGCTGGGGGGGCTCCCCAGAGGGCCGGGGGCCCCTCTTCGAGGAGCTCGGAGGCCTCCCCTCGCCGAGCGCGCCCCGCTGCTCGCGGGGTGCCTACCCTTAAGCAGGGCGTGTCCCCCTACAGGGGGATTTTCGACGAAAGATAGAAAATACTCCAAAAATACCCCCAAAGGCAATAAAATACTAAACAAACGAAAAAAGTAGTCCCCAGACCATTTTTGGACTATGTTTTGACTATTCTTGCAATATTTTTTATTTTTCGTCGAAAATCCCCCTATAGGGGACAGGCCCGATTTAAGCCTATCCGCAAGCGTCCGGAGCAAAAGCACATGTCTGCCTCGACGTAACTCATCGCAGATCCCCCCTCGGGGGATCCAGACCGTCTGCGAGCAGTTGCTCTGTGAGCAGCGGAGCGCGCTCGCCGATCTGCTCCCGCGAGGCCGTCCTCGGAAGCCTCGGGGCCTCGAGGGGGCCCCCGCCTGCCAGGAGGGAGGCCGCCCCGCCCGCGCCCCCCCCTCCCGTGCGCGCGCTGCCTGCCGGGGGGGGCCCGAGATCCCGACCAGCTGCTCGCCGCCCTGCCACAAGCCCTCCCCTCCTCCCTCCTCCCTCCTCCCTCCTCCCTCCTCCCTCCTCCCTCCTCCCTCCTCCCCCCTCCCGCTCCGTTCAAGGCGGCCGCAGCGGCCGCCAAGATGCCAAGGTGGCTCCCGGACGACCTCAGGAGGGCCCCTGGGCGGCCCAAGACGGCCCCAAGAGTCCCGAGAGGGCCTCTGGAGGGCCACAGGACGGCCTCCGAGGGCACCTCGACGGCCCAAGACGGCTCCAAGAGACCAACTAGACGACCAAGAGAGGACGCCCTCGGGGTCGGGGGGCTCGGGCTGGCCTGGCGGGGTCGTCGGGAAGAAGACGAGGCCCAGCCCGAAATCTGGCGCGAGCTCACGCTGCAGACGTCCCGCGGAAACCAGACACCGTCCAAAGCCCAGCACGGGCTCGCCAAGCAGCGTCGGCAAGCTCTCGGGGCGTCTAAGAGGGGGGCGTCCAAGAGGGGGGGCGCAAATCATTGTCGGCGGCATGTGCGCGGCTCAGGGGGGGGCAGGGACGTATTGAAATAAGAAGAGGCGCCATGAGATCTAGGGAGATATCATGGCCCCCGCCATGATATCCCCCCCCCCCCAGCCAGTACCCCCCTCTTCGCCGCCCCCGAAACTCGAGTTTCGGCGAACTCCAGTCTTACGCCTCCCCGATCCCAGAGACACCCTGCCGACGGCTCCTGCGGGCCCTCCGGGGGGCCCCTGCAGGGCCGCGGGACCCGGGTATTCGGCAGGTCGGCATTCTTCGAGACGGGGGCCACCAGGCCTGTCTGCCCCTTCCCTGGGGCTGGCCCTCCACGTCCTGAGTCGGTTGCTGGCGATCGCGGGGGGGGAGGTCGAACTCGGCCCCCCCACAGCGCCCAACTTCTTCGAACCGCCCGATGGCTGTTCCGCTCTCCTGGCCGCGCAAGTCCTACGGAGGCCACCGGAAGGCGACCTGCGTCTGCGATACAAGAAGGGGCTCCGTGGTGCCACCGCAAGGCAACCTGCCCACGCCTGCAAAGGTAATGCAATTGCACCTCCCCCTGCCCCCCAAGTAAGACGAAGCCAGGACAGCGACAAATTCGAACGGGGCTGGATCGGGGATCTCTGAGATCCGGCGGCTCTGGAAAATGTATCGGGCGCCGCGGCGGTTCTAGAGAGCGCTCCAGAACGCTCTCAGAACGTTCTGGAACGCTCAACAACGATGTATCCCTGTCCTAGCCCCGCCCCCCCATGAATCCCCCCAGATCCCACCCGAGCGCCCAAGAGCGCCTCAAGAGCCGCCGCAGAAACGCCGGGACACCTCGGTCCTGAATCGTTGACGACGGCGAAAGTTGCTTTACTTTTGCAGCCCGCTGTAAAAGTCCAGCGCATTCGGCGCGGCCTCAACGAGGGGCCTTTTCTCTCGTCCGAGGGGAGACGCCCAGGCCATGCGGCAAGCAAGCCGCAGGCAAGTCCCGAGAAAGCCAGAGATGCAAGCTGGGATGCCAACTGAAGGCACGCCAAGGCGAGATGGAAAGCATCTGAGCAACATCTGAAAAGCATCTGAGCAAGACTCCGGAGGGGCACCCTCAAGGAACCGACTGGCGCGGCGGGGATACGTACATTTGCCACCGTGCCACAAAACAAACAGCTCATCACCACTTTCGCAAAACCGAACAGGGCCAGGGGAGCAACACACCATGCAGCACACGCGCGTGGACCACACTTCCTCCTGATCATGGGCACGGGAGCAAGGTAACTAAGCACAGCCACCAAGAGGTATATCTCGGGATAGACATCGACTGCTTGACAAGCGGGAAGCCGATGCCTAACCGCAAAGCTCTGGGCTCACATCGGGCCTGAAGGGGACGCCCTGTGGTGGTTGAAACTTTTCTACTCCCAGATCGCGGACGCCCTTCAGCGAAAGCTGCTGCGGGCACTCCACGGGTGCGCGCGACACCACTTTCCGAGAGCACCGAGGCAGATAGCTACATCCAAAAACTACCGAATCCATCCAGCAAAGCAAACGCCGATTAGCGAGACCGCCCAAGGACTGACTGCAAATGCCTACGTCGAGTGAACCGGATCCGGATTCCTCAATCGACTTGCCTGGGTGGGCATTCTCTCGTTGCCCGACCAGGCCCTCAGATCCGGCGTAGCGAATAAGAATGCAACATTTTGAAAAACCGCGGCCGGAGCCCCGGACTCTGTCTTTCGGCGCCATTTTTCGAGCCGGATCGATCTGTGGAGGTTCTGGGGTCCGAAACTGGGCGAAACTCCTGGCTCTTCGTCGTCGTCGTCGTCGTCGTCGTCGTCGTCGTCGTCGTCGTCGTCACCGTCGTCGTCGTCGCCGTTTTCGTCGTCGACGACGTCGTCGTCGTCAACGTCGGTCGGCGGCCCTCGGCGTCGTCGTCGCCGCCAACGTCTTCGTCAACTAGGGCGAGAATGATCTCGTGATAAGATTGGTTCACGATGCGCCCCAGGATTTTCGGGGCATCCGGCGGCGCGGCCGGTGCGGAACCTTGAGGACTACGGGACACCTTGGACACCCTGAAAACCCTGGAGCGCATCCTTGCCTTGTGACTTCTTGCTCCTCTCGGCGGTGGACAAGCCTCCCTTTAGTAAACCTCCACTTAGTGAAAACGGCCTGGGACCGAAACCGACGGACCTGGACCCGCAAAAACGACGGCCGCGACGCCCTCTCGCGAACCGAAAACGGCCAATTCCTTACTCGACGTGTCAGGGTAGGAGGTCTGTCCACCTCCGATTCTCTGAAGCGTCTTCGTCAACGCCGTCCTCGCCGGGGCCCCAAAGAGCGCCTGGGCGGCGCGAGGGGGCGGCGGGGCCTCCGGCCCTGCAGCCGCCGCCGCCCGCTCCCGCGGCCTCCGCCTCGGGGGGGGCGGGGGGAGCAGCAACCCGCGGGCATCCGCCCGCTCAGCTGCGCTCGGAGAGGGGCCAATCGAGACATGCTAATCCTCCTCCTCCTCCTCCTCCTTCTCCTCCTCCTCCTCCTCCTCCTCCTCCTCCTCCTCCTCCTCCCAATCGAGACAACGGCCCCCATGGGGGAAACGGGTCCTGAAGTTCTTCACCGCTTTCGGGCTCTCGGGGCCCTCCATGGGCCCCAGGACTGCAATACAACGACGACTCAGGATGAAGATCTCGTCCTGGGGGAGGTCCCAAGGTCCATGACCCGCTTCCCTCAGGACCCGCTTCCCCTATGCCAAGCTCGGAGAAGTGCCCGTCGAGACAACGGTGGCCGTGCCTGGCATGAACCCATGATGTCCTAAGTACTCTGTACTCGCAAGAACGCCCTTGATCGGCCCCAGCCCACCCCCAACTCACCCCGCCCTGGTCACGTCACGACTCGCGCCGACGCCGTCTGAGAATGAGCCACTCCTCGGCATTCCCAGTCGGCGCCGGCGCGAATCGTGACGTGACCGGCCCCCTCACCCCCGTTCCCCCCCGGTCACGCCCGTTTTCGCCAGTGGATAAAAAACGACCTCCATTGTTCCTCTTTTTTGGAGGGGCCTCCTGGAGGCTTCTCGTCGCCACAGCTGGGTCCGCGTCGGGAAACAAGCCATGATGGGCCCCAGGAAGGGTCCGGGGACTGATCTTGAGCAGGTCTGGAGAGCCGCCGTTGTCTGAGCAACTGGCCCTCCAGCGGTACACGCAAGAGTGATCCTCCCTGAGATCCTGGCGACTCAATTTTTTGGAGCCCGACGTTTTCGCCCAGTCGTGATTTCTCACGATGTCTCAGTTTTTTGGAGACGTCGGATCTCAGGGCTAGGCAGGAGTGACCTTTGGTGCGCGGCTTGCCGATAATTGCGAGCGATGCGACGGTGGTGGTCTGCGTGATTGGGTGTGCACCTCCGGCGCCCCCCAACAGCCGCACCCCAGGGACCACTCTGGCGAAGGGCCAATCTTGCTCGCAGCCTTGACCGAAACCCTTCCTCACCAGGGCAGCCCTGGAACAGGGACCGGTCGATGCCACCCCTGACTAGATCTGGCCGAGACCAGAAACCCCGAACCCCAGAGAACCAACGTCGTGATGTTTCCCATGCGGGGTCCCGGGAGGCCTCGACCCCTTCCCTAGGAGCGGCTCTTCATCCTGAGCCGTTTTCTGATGGTCCCGGGGCCCGGCGAGGGCCCGTGGAGGCCGAACGCAGCGAAACATCTCCGCCGTTTTTACCTAACAGCGAAGACTGATAGGTTTCTAGTGGTCTCAAAAGAGAGCATCATGACTCCTCAAGAAGGTCGGGGCGGGACCCGGGGCGGCTGCCGCCGAAGCCCAAATCGCCTTGGACATCCTCGCAAAATCGCTCTTGGCGCTGCTAGAACTCCATTCCCGGCGTACATTTTGGATGTCCGGAGCCAACTGTAGGCCACTTCGTGGTCTTCGAGTTCCCAGAACTCCATTCCCGGCGTACATTTTGGATGCCCGGAGCCAACTGTAGGCCACTTCGTGGTCTTCGAGTTCCCAGAACTCCATTCCCGGGCCACATTTTGGATGCCCGGAGCCAACTGTAGGCCACTTCGTGGTCTTCGAGTTCCCAGAACTCCATTCCCGGGCCACATTTTGAATGCCCGGAGCCAACTGTAGGCCACTTCGTGGTCTTCGAGCTCCCAGAACTCCATTCCTGGGCATGATTTTGAATGCCCGGAGCCAACTGTAGGCCACTTCGTGTTCTTCGAGTTCCCAGAACTCCATTCCCGGGCCACATTTTGAATGCTGAGGCAGGCTGAGGTTGAGGCTGAGGCAGGCTGAGCTGAGGCTGAGGCTGAGCTGAACTGAGGCCGAGGCTGAAGGCAGACTGAGGCTGAGGCAGGTGAGGCTGAGGCTGGGAAGGCCGAGGCTGAGGCTGAGGCTGAGGCTGAAGCAGGCTGAGGCTGAGGCTGAGGCAGGCTGAGGCTGAGGCTGAGGCAGGCTGATGATAAGGCAGGCTGAGGCTGAGGCAGAGGCTGAGGCTGAAGACTGAGAGGCCGAGGCTGAAGGCAGATTGAGGCTGAGCCTGAAGCAGGCTGAGGCTGAGGCAGAGGCAGGCTGAGGCTGATGCTGAGGCAGGCTGATGGCTGAGGCTGAGGCTGAGGCTGAGGCCGAGGCTGAAGGCAGACTGAGGCTGAGGCTGAAGCAGGCTGAGGCTGAGGCTGCTGAGGCTGAGGGAGGCAGGCTGATGCTGAGGCAGGCTGAGGCTGAGGCTGAGGCTGATGCAGGCTGAGGCTGAGGCAGGCTGAGGCTGAGGCTGAGGCTGAGGCTGAGGCTGAGGCAGACTGAGGCTGAGGCAGCAGGCTGAGGCTGAGGCTGAGGCTGATGCTGAGGCAGGGTGAGGCTGAGGCTGAGGCTGATGCAGGCTGAGGCTGAGGCAGGCTGAGGCTGAGGCCGAGGCTGAAGGCAGACTGAGGCTGAGGCTGAAGCAGGCTGAGGCTGAGGCTGAGGCTGAGGCTGAGGCTGAGGCTGAGGCAGGCTGAGGCTGAGGCTGAGGCTGAGGCAGGCTGAGGCTGAGGCAGGCTGAGGCTGAGGCCGAGGCTGAAGGCAGACTGAGGCTGAGGCTGAAGCAGGCTGAGGCTGAGGCTGAGGCAGGCTGAAGCTGAGGCTGAGGCTGATGCTGAGGCAGGCTGAGGCTGAGGCTGAGGCTAATGCAGGCCACTGCGACTGTCATCGCGAATGCGACTACGACTGCGAGAACAGCAGAACTCTACAACTGGATTCTCATCTGAATCTTAAGGGGGATGCTTCCAGATATGCTCCTACACATCGCTGTTAGGTTGCTTTGCCGGGATATTTTTTTGTTTTCAATGCGTTGGATCTCTGGAGCTCGCCAAAGAGTGCGCGATCATGAACTGCGAGCAGATCGTCAAGGGCGACGCCCTCGAGCTGGCCACAGTGCGCGCGCTGCTGGGCAAGATCGAGGAGCGCGTGGGCGTCCCCGAGAGCCCGAGCATGCTTGCGCCTCCCTCCTGCTGCCGCCGCCCTCCGTCCAGCCTTGCCCCGGCGGAGCCGCCGCCGCCTCCGCCCGCCGAAGGCGAGGCCCTGGCCTGTAGCCCGCCATCCGCCCCATCGACCCCTTGGAGGATCGCGGGGTGGGCTGAGGTCGGGCGTGCCCCCCTACGGGGGAATTTTGGGCGACAGGTGAGAAATACGCAAAGTATGCTCCCCAAAAAAGGAAAAGCAGTAACAATCGCGGGGTTGGCTTAGGTCGGGCGTGTCCCCCTACGGGGGGATTTTGGGCGACGGGTGAGAAATACGCAGAGCAGGCTCCCCAAATAAGGAAAAACAGTCATCAAGAATCGCCCCCATACTATTTTTGGGACCATTTCTGAATATTCCTCCCGCAGAGGGACAGGCCCGGCTTAAGGGTCGGCCTCCGGACCTCCAGGGGCCCCCCCGCCTGGGCTTGGCCACCCCGCGTCCCCCTGCAGGCCGCGCGCCAGAGGTCGCTCTTGCCCAGGGTCGCGCCCGCGTGTGCAGCAAGGGGGGCGGCCGCAAGGAGCCCTCGCAGGAAACCCAGCCCTGACGACCCGCGCGAGGGCTGCGACTTGGGGGGAAGCCCAGGGCACCCCGAGCGCAGCAGCTCTTCAGCGGCCTCGGGAAGTCACCGCGCAGCGCGAGGAGCGAAGATACTCCTGACTTCGTAATCAAGGGGAGGGGGGTCTCATTTCGGGGGGGGGGGTCTCTTCCAGGCTATCTTGGAGGGCCTGGGGGGGTCTGGGGACGATGTCTTGGAGGGTTCTCCCACGGGGGAGGTCTGAAATGGCTTGTCTTGGAGGGTCCAGACCCTCTCCCTTTTATCACGAACTCTGGGGTACTCAGGGTGCCCCGACGAAAAGCATACACCTTGCGAAATGCTTAAGAAATCATGGGTTAAGAAATTCATAGTCTCAGAAATTGAATAAAACCCAGAACTTCTATCAAAATCTTGGGATTTACATTCAAAAGTTCAGAATAATCGAGACTCTGGACGAAAAGTCAGGTTTTCTTAAGCATCGCCTAGGGTGTGTGGCTTCTGGATGCGCGCCCCTCTAGGGGGCCTCTGCGCCTAGAGGCCTCTGGCGACCTCCGGGGCCGGCGCGTGAGGAGGCCTTCGCGCCTGGGCCCCTCCGCGCCGGGGGCCTCGGGGGGCCCCTCCGCGCCCGGGGCCTCTGGAGGCCTCCGCGTCTGGGCGGAGGCATGCCAGGAGCCGAACTCGACATGCACCGACGCCTGTGCCTGGCCTCGCACTACCCAGACGGTCTGGTACCGGAAATTTTCGGTAGCGATTTCGACGCACCCCGAATTTCGGTAGCGACCGGATCTTCGTTTGAGGGCGTTGAAATAGCGGATTTCGGAACGCTCTGATACCAGTATTGGGCGCTACATGTCGGTATTTCGGTAGCGACCGATCTCTGCGGAGCGCTACCGGAAATTTTCGGTAGCGGACCATCGGGGTGGCCTCGCACTAAGCCTCGCACAGGAGAGCGGCTCCTGGTGTACACGGGATCCTGGTGCATGCGTGCGTCGTCGTCTCCCCAGGACAGCGGGGCAACGAGCATACACCACACCACCCCGACGTCGTCCCCGAACCTCAACAAAAATCCTGGGATTGAAAAGCCGCCCGCCACTGGAAATGTATATGCTCCAGTTTCCGAGCATGGAGTCTACGTGTACCGCCCCTCGTCCTGGTCAGCCCGGGGGGGGCCGATCGGCCCGTCCCTCCCAGGCCCGGGAGCGGCCCTGCCAGGATCGGTGCAAGTGGACGGTCCGATACATCCGGCGTCTGGGCGTGAGGACGGGGCCCCCAGCAGTCCCGGCCCTTTCCTTTCCCCCGGGGGGGCCAGCCTTTCATCCCGAGCCCTCTGCTGACGTGCTCTCCAGGGCCCCGGCGGGAGCCCCGCAGTGGCCGAAGACGGCGAAAAGCCTCCGTCCCCTGCTTTCTTGTTCGAGCAGGCCTCTGCCACAACGACGACCTCCTCCTCCTCCTCCTCCTCGAGCGCTTCCCATGGCCACAGCAAAGCTGCGCCGCAGCGTGAGATGCCGAACGCATTCGGCTGGCTTAGGGGGCGCCTGGAAGTCCAGGGGCAGCAACAAGTTGCGAGGACAAGAAGAGAGAGGAGGAGGAGGAGGAGGAGGAGGAGGAGGAGGAGGAGGAGGAGGAGGAGGAGGAGGAGGAGGAGGACCAGTGGAAACCCAAGAGTCATCAACGATGTTGGAATTAACCCTCCCTCCAAGCTCCCTGTTCATCGGCCCCCACAACTGTTTATTTCCATTGAGGGATCTGCCTCGTTGGAAGACGACAGTTTGAAGATCCTGAAGCGTGCCAAAACATTGTTCTCGGGATTTCAACGCCACGTATCAACCTGACTGCTGCGTGTTGACGATCCAGAACCGTGACAGAACGCCGTTTTTGGGACTTCAACAAAGCGAATCAACATAATTGTTGCGCCCTCAGAATCCTGAACCCGTCCCAAAAAACATTTCTGGTACGCTGATCATGGGAATCCGTGAAACTCTTGCAAAGTTAAACATCGAATGTGCGCGGCGCTACGGCGAGAGCCACATTTTGAAAAGGAACCGCCCTCAATCCATGAACCTTTTGAAATGTTAAAAAAGAATGTGCACGGCGCTAAGGCGAGAGCCACATTTTGAGAACCAACCGCCCTCAATCCGTGAAGCTCTAGGATGTTTTTTAAACGAATGTGCGCGGCGCTAAGGCGAGAGCCACATTTTGAAAACCACCCGCCTTCCATCTGTGAAAATGTTCACTTTTTAAGCTTCAAAATCATAAATGATGGGGAAGTCTCAGGCGGAACGCCCGGCCCGCCCTGAAAACTGGCCTCGGGGTGCGACAGGGAGGAGTTTTCTATAAGGAGAAGGAATGGGGGAGGAGGAGGAGGAGGAGGAGGAGGAGGAGGAGGAGGAGGAGGCGGAGGAGGAGGAGGAGGAGGAGGAGGAGGAGGAGGAGGAGGAGGCGGAGGAGGAGGAGGAGGAGGAGGAGGAGGAGGAGGAGGAGGAGGTCCGAGGGTGCTGCCCCCTCCGGACAGGCCTCCTCCTTCACGACGGGGTCCTCCTTCACCACCGGGTCCTCCTTCTTCGTCTGGAGGAGCCGCGGGGTGCGCGCCTCCCCCATACCACGGGCAGCGGCGGAGGGAGGGGCGGGCGCGAGGAGGCAGGAGGAGCCGCCAGCAGAGGTTCTGCCACACCAGCGCCTGGGCCGCCCCGGGGGAGCCCCGAGCTTCTCCACGTGCTGACCGCCCCTCGGGTGGGCAGCTTCTGCTCTCGCCGGCCCCCGCTGTCGGCGCCCCCCCTCTCTGCTTCTGCCGCCCTCCGCCGAGGAGGGGGCGTCGACTTTGCGATCCCTCGAAGGCGAGGGCATGTCTGAAGCGCCCCACCTGCTGATCCTTTACTCCAGATTTCGTAATAAAAGGGAGGGGGTCTGGACCCTCCAAGACAAGCCATTTTAGACCCCCCCCCGTGGGAGAACCCTCCAAAACATCGTCCCCAGACCCCCCCAGGCCCTCCAAGATAGCTTGGAAAAGACCCCCCCCCGAAATGAGACCCCCCTCCCTTTATTGAATCGCTTCGCTCATTCCGCCGGCCCGTATTGTGCCATCGCGGGGTCTTGGGGGGTTTTGGGGGCCTTTGGAAGCTTCGTGGGAGCTTCTTGGGAACTTTGGGAGGCCTCGTGGATGGCTCTGGGTGGGCCCTCTTGGTGGTCTCTTGGGGGGGTCTGCCTGGCCTCTTGGGGGCCTCCTGGGAGCTTCCTGGCGGCCTGTTGGGGGCCTCTTGGGGCTCTCTTGTTGGGGGCCTCTTGGGGCTCTCTTGGGGGCTTCGTGGGGCTACTTGGGGGCTTGTAGGGGCATTTCGGGGGCGTGTTTGGGCGGGAGGCTCAAAATTTCCGTTCAGGTTGCCCCTGTGGACCTCAATCATGGGGCCGTCTTGGGGCCTCTTGGACCGTCTTGAGGGTTTCTTGGGCCTTCTTGGAGCGCTGTTGGGCCGTCTTTGAGCGGTCTTGAGGGTCTCTCGGGCCGTCTTGGGGTGATCTTGGGGGCCTCTTGGACCGCCTTGAAAGGTGTGAAAGACGAAGAGGCGGATATGTTAAAAATGCACGCTTTCCTAAGGGAATGGGACGATTTTTGCTAGTGGGAGCCCTCTTGGGACGCCGCTTAGGGACCTCTTGGGGCGTCTTGAAGGCCTGTTGGGCCGTCTTGAGGCCATCGTAGGCGCTTGGGGGTGATATTTCGGCGTCTCCCAGCTCTCTTGGACCGTCTGGAGGGCTTCTCGGGCCCCTCTTGGACCGATTTGGAGCCCTCCTGGGCTCCGAAAAAGAGTTCTTGAGGGTTTCTTGGGCCTTCTTGGAGCGCTCTTGGGCCGTCTTTGAGCGGTCTTGAGGGTCTCTCGGGCCGTCTTGGGGTGATCTTGGGGGCCTCTTGGACCGCCTTGAAAGGTGTGAAAGACGAAGAGGCGGATATGTTAAAAATGCACGTTTTCCTAAGGGAATGGACGATTTTTGCTTGTGGGAGCCCTCTTGGGACGCCGCTTAGGGACCTCTTGGGGCGTCTTGAAGGCCTGTTGGGCCGTCTTGAGGCCATCGTAGGCGCTTGGGGGTGATATTTCGGCGTCTCCCGGCTCTCTTGGACCGTCTGGAGGGCTTCTCGGGCCCCTCTTGGACCGATTTGGAGCCCTCCTGGGCTCCGAAAAAGAGTTCTTGAGGGTTTCTTGGGCCTTCTTGGAGCGCTCTTGGGCCGTCTTTGAGCGGTCTTGAGGGTCTCTCGGGCCGTCTTGGGGTGATCTTGGGGGCCTCTTGGACCGCCTTGAAAGGTGTGAAAGACGAAGAGGCGGATATGTTAAAAATGCACGTTTTCCTAAGGGAATGGGACGATTTTTGCTAGTGGGAGCCCTCTTGGGACGCCGCTTAAGGACCTCTTAGGGACCTCTTGGGGCGTCTTGAAGGCCTGTTGGGCCGTCTTGAGGCCATCGTAGGCGTTTGGGAGTGATATTTCGGCGTCTCCCGGCTCTCTTGGACCGTCTGGAGGGCTTCTCGGGCCCCTCTTGGACCGATTTGGAGCCCTCCTGGGCTCCGAAAAAGAGTTCTTGAGGGTTTCTTGGGCCTTCTTGGAGCGCTCTTGGGCCGTCTTTGAGCGGTCTAGAGGGTCTCTCGGGCCGTCTTGGGGTGATCTTGGGGGCCTCTTGGACCGCCTTGAAAGGTGTGAAAGACGAAGAGGCGGATATGTTAAAAATGCACGTTTTCCTAAGGGAATGGGACGATGTTTGCTTGTGGGAGCCCTCTTGGGGCGCCGCTTAGGGACCTCTTGGGGCGTCTTGAAGGCCTGTTGGGCCGTCTTGAGGCCATCGCAGGCGTTTGGGAGTGATATTTCGGCGTCTCCCGGCACTCTTGGACCGTCTGGAAGGCTTGCCGGGACCTTGCCGGGACCTTAAGATTGCCGGGACCTTGCCGGGACCTTGCCAGGACCTTGCCGGGACCTTGCCGGGACCTTGCCAGGGCCTTGCCGGGACCTTGCCTGGACCTTGCCGGGGTACTTTTCGTCCGGGGACCCCCAGGGCCCGCCCCGCGCGCGCGAACTAGAAATATTGTTGAGCAGTTACCGGAGATCTTAGCACGCCTCTGGCCCGTTGGGCCGGCGAATTACGAAATCTGGAGTACCCAGACAGGCGCGGGAGGAGCGCAGCAGTGGGCGGCAAGGAAGCGGCGGCTGCTCGACGGCGGGCCACGGGCCGGGCCGAGCCGAGATCCGACTGGGACGCGCAGCGGCACAACACGAACTTCTCTCTGTGTTGGGTGGGGAGGGAAGTAGGGGGGAAACAAACCTACCTCGCTTTTGACCACCCTCGCTTCCAAGAGATACCAAGCGATGCCAAACTACGGCCTGTACTGGTCAGGCCGCTTGACGAGGAGGCGCGTGGTATGACTTGGTTTTTCGTGGAAGCGAAAGCGGGGTAGGTAATTCACGCTCTGAGGAAGGGCGGGAGAGGGACGCGGACGGCCGAGGATCGGCGTACGCTTGGCTCCTCGCGTTGCAGTGCCGGGGCCCCGTCGTAAAATCGCCCCACTCCGCGGTCAGCAGCACATGGCGCATGGTGGAACCACCGAGCCGAAAGAGACTGAGTTCGACAGCAGATTTCTATGCCCACCCGCCGATGCGTCGACCAGATAACGATCCCACTGCGCCATACAATTTCAGACAACACTCGCGCGTGCATACCCCTTCGAGGTGATGACGGCGGGACTCGCACACGTGCCCAATGCGAGTGTGGGGGGGGGGCAGAAGAGAGGAGAAGAGAGGTAGACCAGCCTGAGAAGGGAGGACGCTCGGACGTCCGCAGCAAGCCACGATGTCGGGACAGAGACACCAGGCCCACAGGGTCGGCTGAGCCGACACCAGGCAATCAGAAACAAGCAAATTGCGAGCTCTATGTGTAAGCTCTGAGCCAAAGCCGTGCGCCCTGCCTTCTGCCATCCCAGCGCGGGGGCCTGGGTCCGACGATTGGAGGGCTGCTGTGGGGCGAAGCGCCTGGCAAGCACGCCACGCGAGTTTGGCGGAGCACCAGCGCCACAGACGGCCCTGCCCGTCGGTCGACGAGGAGGCCGGCGCCTGGAGGGCGGAGGACCACCGACCTCAAATAGACACCAACCACGCTAGAAAACTATGCCATGCCTGGATGCAGGCAGCATCCACGATGGTCGGCACGAGACGTGCAGAAACAAGCTGTCGTCCTTCGGGGGCGGCCGAGAGGGGGATGTCCAAGAGGGGGGGTGGTGGCGCAAACCATGGCCGGCGGCATGTGCGCGGCCCATGGGCGGGGGGGCAGGGACGCTTTAAGATAAGAAGAGGCGCCAAGAAATCTGGGGAGATATCATGGCCCCCGCCATAATATCCCCCCCCCAGTCATCACCCCCCTCTCTGCCGCCTCCGGGTCCTCGCCGAATGGCCTGGAGCCGTGCGGCGCGACGCCAGAACAAGCCCGCACCCCCGACCCCGAGGAGGAGGAGGGAGGACAAGGACGAGGAGGAGGGAGGAGGAGGAGAGGAGGAGGAGGAGAGGAGGAGGAGGAGGAGGGAGGAGGAGGAGGAGAGGAGGAGGAGGATAGGTGAAAATGGAGGGAAAGGGAGAGAGGAAGGGGGGAGGAGGACACGAGAGGAGGGCGGACGAGAAGGAGGGAGAACAGCCGCGCAGGCTGTGCCCCGGCGCCCCCCGGGGGGGGGTTAGCCGCTGTCAGTTGCTCCACGCGGCACCCTTGAGGTGTATGCATCTGGTCCTCCATCGGCGCAGCTACACCCTTGCTAAGAGTTAGGAACAGCTTAGACTAAGAGAACGGACTTCGCTCCAAGCGCTTTCTTAGACAGCGGTCCAGGTCCAGAGATGCGACGGTCCTGCGAAGAAAAGAAGCTAGAAGAGAACCCCCAGGGTCCAGTCCTGATTCTTGATTTTCCTGACCGAGCTCTGGAGTCCATGAACGTTGCTGCTTGTTATTGAAATGTCTGATCGGTGTACTTACGCGCCACGGCATGTGTCGACACGCATTCAAAGACGAACCCATGGCGTGGCACGTGAACATAATCAGCACGTGTTGGAATGGCAGCCTGGGACGACACACCTCGACAATATCACAGTCAACTTTCATAAAGCATGCACGTCCGCACAACCATCACGCCAAGAAGAGTCCTCCCCGTTTCCGTGGGACAACTGCGGCCTGACAGATGCCAGGAAGCTGGGAGCACATATGCCTGGATTCACGAGGAATGTGCGGAGGCCACTTGCTGGATACACGCGTGGAATCTGACTGAGCCTGGCCATACGAGGGACGAGCACGCCAGGCCGGCCCGGGCTTGCCAGCAATTACGAGGCTCACGTCTGCACCTCCCGCTCATGCGCTGTCCTCGCCTTCAGGGCGCAGTCTAAGCATGGCCACATGAACGTGGGCCACGAATTTTGAGCCCCTTCGCCCCAGGGCACAGGGCCCCGTGGGGATGCCCGCAGGAGCGGGCACTCCCCGGGCGGAGGCCGAGAAGCCCGACGCGAGCGAGGGCACCCCTCCAGGGGCAAACTGCGGCGAAAGGCCACCCCCCCTGCACGGCCGATCCGCGCCCTGAGCCCGAGCCCCGAACCCCCCCCACACCAGAAGAAGAACAACAACTGCATACACATCAAACTTTTGGCGCTCCGCGCGGATCTCTTGGATCTGCGCTGGACCCCACTCCCTGGCGCGCTCCGCGCGCCAGGGGCGGCGCCGGAGGCGCCGACAGGGGGGGGCCCAGCGCGGATCCAAGACATCCGTGCGGAGCGCCGAGAGTTCATGCTTCTGGCGTTTTTTCTTCTGCGGCGCCCCACCCCCCAGGGTCGGCGCCAGCTCGGCCAGCTGGGAGGAGCTCACCGCCGACGCCGACGAGGCCGCGGTGCCCGCGAACGACGCGGCCCTGCGCGCCCGAGGCCCCCTCGAGGCGGGGCGCTCTCTCGGGCACGGCCTCGTCGTCGTCGTCGTCGTCGTCGTCGTCGTCGTCGTCGTCGTCGGCGGCGCCGTCGTCGTCGTCGTCGTCGTCGTCGTCGTCGTCGTCGTCGTCGTCGTCGTCGTCGTCGTCGTCGTCGTCGTCGTCGTCGTGGCCGGCCGCTTCTCCGACGGGCCCCGTCCGCGGCGGGCCCCCCGCCCTCGACCGGCGCCGCCTCGTCCCGTCCGCCCAGTGCCTCCAGTCCTCCTCCTCCTCCTCTCCTTCTCCTCTCCTCTCCTCCTCCTCCTCCTCCTCCGTCTCCTCCTCCTCCTCCTCCTCCTCCTCATCATGCTCCTCCTCCGCCTCCTCCTCCTCCTCCTCCTCCTCCTCCTCCTCCTCCTCCTCCTCCTCCTCCTCCTCCTCCCCCTCCCCCTGCTCCTCCTCCCACTCCTTCCAGTCCTCTCCTCCTCCTCCTCCTCGTCCTCCTCTCCTCCTCCTCCTCCTCCTCCTCCTCCTCCTTCTCCTCCTCCTCTCCTCCTCCTCCTCCTCCGTCTCCTCCTCCGTCTCCTCCTCCTCCTCCTCCTCCTCCTCTTCCTCCTCCTCCTCCTCCTCGTGCTGCTCGGGGGCGTCGCGACCCTGGCACCCAAACTCCTCCTCTTCTCCTCCTCTCCTCCTCCTCCTCCTCCTCCTCCTCCTCCTCCTCCTTCCTCCTCCTCCTCTCCTACCTCCTCCTCCTCCTCCTCCTCCTCCTCCTCCTCCTCCCCTCCATGCTCCCTGCTCCCAGATTCCTCCTGCTGCCCCCGTCCTCCCTCCTCCCTCCTCCCTCCTCCTTGATCCCTCCTCCCTCCTCCCTCCACCCTCTTCCTTCCTCCTCCTCTACCTCCTCCTCCTCCAATCCTCCTTCTCCTCCTCCTCCTCCTCCTCCTCCTCCTCCTCCTCCTTCTCCGCCTCCGCCTCCTCCTCCTCGTCCTCCTTCTCCTCCTCCTCCACCACCACCTCCTCCTCCTCAACCGTCTCCCTCCTCCTCCTCCTCCTCCTCCTCCTCCTCCTCCACCTCTCCTCCTCCTCCTCCCTCCTCCTCCTCCTCCTCCTCCTCCTCCTCCTCCTCCTCCTCCTCCTCCTCCTCCTCCTCCTCCTCCTCCTCTCCTCCTCCTCCTCCTCCTCCTCCTCCTCCTCCTCCTCCTCCTCCTCCTCCTCCTCCTCCTCCTCCTCTCTCTTGGGGCGCTTTGGTGCAATCTGGGGAGCGTCTTGGGCAACGTTGGAGCGTCGGCAAGCAGAACGAACAACAACTGGAGATGCTCGAGAACCTCCTGCTCCGATGACTGGCGGCGACAATCACGTTCCCGGAAGGCTCTCCAGGAACCTGACGGTTGCGGCCGTGTGGCGGCCCTCGTGTAGGCCTCTGTAGGGCCCTGTCGGGGTGTCGAGGCTCATTTGGGGGGCTTTTCGGGGTTGGGGTGTCGAGGCTCGTTTTAGCGCCCTTTTGGAGTGTGTTGGGGCTCTCCCTGTACGCCTCTTGTGCCGTCTCCGAGCGTCGTGAAGCGGAACAGGCGACGAATGGAAAAGTCTTGAAAATTCGAATGGGGATCATTGCTTTTTGCCTATTGGAGCTCTCTCGGAGAGCAGTTTGGAGCCCTCTTGGGGCGTCTGGGATGCCTCGTGGGCAGTATCGAAACAATGGAGGGCGTAATGGGACCGTTGGAGGGCCCGTGGGCCTCCTTTAGGGCCCTCTGAGCGCGTCCAGGCTCAGTTGGGGGGCCGCCTGGGGCCCTCTTGGGCTACCTTGGGCGCCTCTTGGGTCGTCTTGGCGCCCTCTTGGGGCGTCTTGAAGCCCTCGTTGACGCCTCCTGTGCCGTCTCCGGGCGTCGGGAAGCGGAGCAGGCGACCACGCGAAAATCGGTGAACAGCCAATGGGACATCAATCATGTTTGCCTGTTGGGGCTCTCTCGGAGAACAGTTTGGAGCCCCTTTGGGCCGTCTTGGAAGCCTCGTGCGCCGCATCGAAGCAATGGTGGGCGTGCTGGGACCGGTTTGGTGCTCTCTGGGCCTCCTTTGAAGCCCCTGTGAGGTGTCCAAGCTCAGTTGGGGGCCCGCCTTGGGCCCTCTTGGGCGACCTTGGGCGCCTCTTGGGCCGTCTTGGCGCCCTCTTGGGGTGTGTTGGGGCCCTCGTTGATGCCTCTTGTGCCGTCTCTGGGCGTCGGGCAGACCAGGCGGCCACACGAAATCCCTTGACAAACGAATGGGAAATCACTGGTTTTCGGCCCTTGGGCCTCTCTCGGGGAGCAGCTCGAGGCTCTCTGGGGGCGTCTTGGAGGCCATGTGGGCCGTCTCGAAGCCATGGTTGGCGTGCTGCATGGGCGCCCCTGAAAGCCTTTTTGGCTGGGCGAGGCTCGTTTGGCCCCCCATGCGGCACTGGGGCAACGGTCCGGGCCCCCCTGGGCCTACTCACACACATATGTATGTACATACATAACAAGTGCATATATATATATATATATATATAAACAGCGCAATCTTTTGGGAGAAGGAGGAGGAAAGCTGAGGGGACGATGCGGACAGAACGGATGACCTCGCGTGGCGTCAAAATCAAAGACATCTTCAAAATCCGGCCGTGTTCTTGGAGCCCCACTCCAAGCGAACAAGGGTCGCCACAGCGGGAGGAGGGGAAGGAAGAGGAGGAGGAAGAGGAGGAGGAGAGGGGAGGGAACCAGATGAGTACTCAAAATATTTGTGTATATATATATATATACAAATATAGATGTGTTGTTATATGTGTATGTAGGTGTCTATATATATATATGTGTGTATCGGAGCGAGGGGGGGTCCGCTCACGCGAATCAATTTCAAGTCGTGCGCGCGGTGGCTGCTGCGGGACAAGCAAACGCCGTCGCGTTTACCTCCTCCTCCCCTTCCTCCTCCTCCTCCTTCTTCTCCTCCTCCTTCTTCTTGTTCTCCTTCCCCTTCTTCTTCCTCTCCTCCTCCTCCTCCTCCTTCTTCTTGTTCTTTCCGGCCCAGGGCGGGGGGCGGCGGCGGGGCCCGGCCCGGCGGGCCCACGCGCACGCGTGGGGCCCGGCCCGGCGCCCCGCCGCGGGGGGCCCGCGGCGTCGCGGGGGCCCGTCGCCGCGGGGCCCGGCGGGTGGCGCGCCCGCTCGTGCGGGGGAGGGGGCCCCCAGGGGCCCCCTCGCGGGGGGCGCGCGCGCGGCGTCGCGGGGGCGCGTCGCCGCAGCGCCCACGGGTGGCGTTGGTCCTGGCGAAGGGGAAAGGCAGAGTTGAGAAATAAAAGATCGGAGCTGCGGCGGGCTTCGTCATTGAATGTGACGGGGCCCTGGAGCACACAAAGGAATAGACACAAACAACAGGGTTCCCCATATTTTCTGGGTTCTCGTCTCCCCCCCACACTTCCCATATTTTCCCATCTTTTCCTGGAGATCCACAATGAATTGTGTCTGTGTTTTTTCCCTTCCTGAGAATGTCCAACTTTTTCCAGCGGCCCGTCCGGGGGGCCCGCGGCGTCGTGGGGGCCCGTCGCCGCGGGGCCCACGGGTGGCGTCGGTCTCGGTGGCGCAGAGATGCAGCAATGCTGAACATGAAAAACAAATCGGCGCCGGCGGCGGGCTTCTTCACTGAATGCTTCGTTTAACTTGTTTCAGTAACCCGTCCCGGGGGGGGACCGCGGCGTCGTGGGGGCCAATTGGTGGCGCTGGTCTTGGCTGCGCAGACATGCGCGCTCAGAATTGAAAGTCGGCGCCTGCGGCGGGCTTCATCTTTGCTGAGTTTACGGCGCGTCGCGCCGAGACCATAGCAACCCGTCGCTCCTATCCGCATTTCCGGGGGGGTGGTATAGCACATGTTTTTCTGACCGTCGTCGTACTAATGCAGGGTCCCGAGTGGGTCCTCTTCGGGGTCTCTTGAGGCCGTTTTCAAGCCGTCTTGGGGCCTCCTTTGTCCCTCAGGGCAATCTTGGGGGCCTCTTGGGGCTGTTCTGGGGCGGTCTGGGGGCCCAGTTGGGCTGTCTTGGGGCCCTCTTGGGCCGTCCTGGACTCGTCTTATTGCCCTCTTGGGTGCCTATAGGGCCATCTTGGGGCGATCTCAGGGGCCTCTTCGGCCGTCTCGAGCGCTCTGGAGACCGAGAAGCCGCGTATGCAAAAATAGCACCGGAACCTAAGGAAAGCCACTATATTTTGCCTCCGGGGGGCTTCTTGGGAGTCGTCTTCGGACCTCCTTGGGCCATCTGGGGAGCCCGTTGGGCCGTCGAGTGGCCATCGTGGGCCCATCTTAGGCCGTCTTGGGCCCATCGTGGCCGTCTTGGGGCGCTCGTCGGGCTTTCCTGAGGACTCCTGGGGCCCTCGCGGGGCGCTCTGGAATCAGCCTCCCCGGCCGCGCCCGAAGTTGTCCCCGATCAGTTTTCTATGTATATGAATACTCATGGTGTATATGTATATACCAATAGTATATATATATATATATATATATGGACATCTCTCTCTATATGTATGTGTGCATGCATGTCTGTCTGTCTGTCTGTCTGTCTGTCTGTCTGTCTGTCTGTCTGTCTCTGTCTGTCTGTCTGTCTGTCTGTCTGTCTGTCTGTCTGTCTGTCTGTCTGTCTGTCTGTCTGTCTGTCTGTCTGTCTGTCCGTTTCTCTGTCTGCCTGCCTGCCTGCCTGCCTGTCTGTCTGTCTGTCTGTCTCTGTCTGTCTGTCTGTCTGTCTGTATGTATGTATGTAAGTGTGTATGTGTGTATGTGTATGTCTATGTATGTATGTCTTCGGCTGTCTGGGGGCCTTTCTGAGGGCCAGTTAGGCCGTATTGCGGCGACTTGGGAGGCCCCTCGGACCGCCATGGCCATCTTGGGGTCCTCTTGGGCCGTCTTGGAGGGTTCTGGGGCCGCCTGGGGGGCCATCTTGGACGCCCTCGTAGGGCCCTCTTGGGCCGCCCTGGGGCCCTCTTGGGCCACCTTGGGGCTTTCTTGGGTTGTCTTGGGGCCCTCTTGGGGGGCTTCCGGGTGGTCTTGGGGCGACTTGGGAGGCCCCTCGGGCCGTTGCAGGTGGTCAGGAGGCCGATAAAAACCTGAAGGGAAACCTGCAAGTTTGGCCTCATGAGGCTCCCTTGGGGGAGCTCTTTGAGCCCTCTCGGGCTGTCTTGGGGCGCTCTCTTGAACAGTCTTGGGGCTCTCGTGGGCCTCTGTGAGGCCGCCTTGGGCACCTTTGGGGCCGCTTGCGGGCGCCTCGGGACACTCGGTGGTTCTGGGAAGCTCGACGGGACCCCCGGCACACCAGTCGCCAGTCGAGGCTCGGGCCCAGGGACCCATGGCCCTACTCCCCCGTTATACATCTACATGTCTATCTTCACAGGTACATATCTGCATCTATGCACATCTATGTGTGTATATATATATATGTGTGTATGTGTGTATGTGTGTATGTGTGTAGGTGTGTAGGTGTGTATGTGTGTATGTGTGCATGCATGTATGTATGTATGGATGCATGCATGTATGTATGTATGCATGCATGTATGTATGTGTGTGTATGTATGTATGTATGTATGTCTGTATGTATGTATGTATGTATGTATGTATGTATGTATGCATGTCTGTGTGTATGTAGGTATGTGTAGGTGTAGGTGTATGTGTATGTGTATGTGTACGTGTACGTGTATGTGTATGTATACGTATACGTATACGTAGCGGTATATGTATATGTATACGTATACGGATAGGTATATGTATTTGTATATGTGCATGTATATGGATATGTATGTGTATACGTCTATGTCTATGTCTATGTCTATGTCTATGTCTATGTCTATATATATGTGTATATATATGTATATATCGGAAGTTGGGGGGTGAGATCGCAATGAAACGGAGAGCCCCCCCACCAGGAAATCAGCTTCGGTTTCGTGTTCGTGTCGTGCGTGCGGGCGAGGTGCAGCTGCGTGATGAACCCTCCTCTGTCTAGGCCGCGGCCAGACCAAATGTCCACCCCCTCTGGGTTGGCCGGCCCGTGATGTTCTGATGGTGTCCCGTGGTGTCCTGCGGTGTCCCGATGGTGTTCCGATGGTGTTCCGATAGTGTTTTGGTGGTGTCTTGGTAGTCTTCGTACTGTCCCGTCGGTGTCCCGTCTGTGTCCTGTCGGTGTCCCGCGGGTGTCCCGTCGGTATCCCGTCGGTGTCCCGTCGGTGTCCCGCGCGTGTGTCCCGTGGTGAGATCGATAGTGAGATCGATAATGAGACCGATCGTGGAATCGATGGTGAGATCGATAGTGAGATCGACAGTGAAATAGATAATGAGAGCGGTAGTAATGTCGATCGTGAGATCGATTGTGAGATTGCTAAGGAGGACAGTTTTGAGATCAATCGTGAGATAGGGAAAGTGAGATCGATTGCGAGATCGATCGTGAGGTCGAATGTGGTATCGATGATGAGATCGACAGTGACATCGATCAAGTGAAATCGATCGTGGGCTCGATCGTGAGATCGGTAGTGAGATCGATCGAGTGAGATCGAAAGTGAGATCGAGCGAGTGCTATCGATAGTGGGATCGATCGTGAGATCGATCGAGTGAGACGTTGGTTCCTCCCCAACAACCTCCTGATCACCCGAAGGGTGGTCGTATTTGTATTTATCCTCCTCCCTTCCTCGTCGTTATCCCCCCCTTCTTCATCCTCGTCGTCGTCGTCGTCGACCTCCTCCTCCTCCTTTCCCTCCTCCCCCCCTTCCTCCTCCTCGTCCCCCTTCCCCTCCCCCTCCTCCTCCTCGCCCTCCTGTTCCCCTGCCACTTCGTCTTTCATTCCTCCTCCACATTCTCCTCACCTCACCCTTCTCCTCCTCCTCCTCCTCCTCCTCCTCCTCTTCGTCCTCCTCCTCCTTCCTCCTCCTCCTCCTCCTCCTCCTCCTCCTCCTCCTCCTCCTCCTCCTCCTCCTCCTCCTCCTCTCCTCCTCCTCCTGCTCCGCTTATCACTGATTGCGAGGGTGTCTACCTCAACTATTATAATGGACATCCGAGCTCGCCAGTCGGACCTGATGCAGACCTGTGGCACCAGGTGGGCGTCGAGCGAGCCAGGAGATCAGGCGATTTCGTTGTTCTTTTCACCAACTCCATGCTACGGGCGAGGACGTCGCCCTAGGCCGTGCCAATGCGTCCTTTGCATATGGCAACACTGTCGCCGACGAGTTCGCAGCAGTTGCAGCGGACAGCCACCGTGTGGAAAAGCACCTTCGACAGCAGATTCAGGGTATCGAGAATGACGCCTACCTCGTCCGCATGAGGCTCCTGAGATCCACCTTAGAGGCCCTAGAGTTCGAGAAGGCTCAGATTCGTGAGTTGCCAGCTGGAAGCCGACAGCCTAGGAGAGTGAAAGCTCAGCCTGTCCGCCCTCCCGCCCCCTCCCTGTGTGCTGTTTTCAGGTCTCATCATCAATTAGATGACACTGGTAGACAATGTAATCTATGTAAGGGGTCAGCCACAGCTAGCACCCGTGTTGAATGGTATGATTCAGAGTGTTTCAATCTGGAAAATGTCGATGGCACTTATATGAGACCCCCCCTGGGCAAGCAGGTTCATGTAGCAGGGGGGTGGATTCATTTAACCCATCATCCGAGGTTCCACGCTGGGCTGGGGATTTGGTTCTGCTCCACATGCGGGAGCTACGTCTCCCAGCAGATTGGGAAGCTAGCAATGATGTGTCAACCCCCCTCGGCCACTGGGCGCGAGTATCTTAGACGTATCAATTCAGGTCTCTGGCCTAAGGTTCTCAGTAAAGCTGAGCAAGCTCAGAGGAGTAAGCACCTACAGTAGGTGCAGCGGAATTTTCTTTCCAATACATCGCTACGCGATCAGGCAGATACTCCAGATACTCCTCCTCCTCCTCCTCCTCCTCCTCGCAGCGGCGGCGACGACGACGAACGGCGACGATGACGACGGCGATGACGTCCGCGGCTGCAGGACGGCACTCCCGAGTGGGAAGACGAGGAGGAGGAGGATGAGGAGGAGGAGGAGGAGGAGGAGAAGCAGGCGGAGGAGGAGGAGGCGGAACAGGACAGAAAGGGAGAGGAGAGGAGCATGAGTAGGAGGAGGCGGAGGAGGGAGCAGGACTGGGTGGGGGGGAGCAGAAAGAGGACGACAACGAGGAGCACCCCACGAGTTTGCGCAACCGGTCTGCCATCCCTCCCCTTGCGAGCAGCATCCGGGCACGCCCTTGCACGGCCTTGGCTGCGAAGCTACTGCTCTGACCTCCCTGGCGGCAGCATGAATTGAATGTGGAGAAGATTAGATCGGTGGCGAGTGCACCGGCATGCATACACTGGGGAGCGAGCTGGCAGAGAGACGAGGAGGGCCACACATGCAGAAGGAAACAAAAAGGCGCCCAACATCCCCATTCGGGAGGCAGGGACGGCATCAGCTGTCTGATGACAGGGACGATGACGGGGCATTCAAAGTAATGAGTGATGCAGTCTGCTCTTAAACTGCAACACCCGAAGACACAGTAGGAGGTGGGTTGCCTCAAGCGTTTCCTTGTGGGCCAGGCATTGAACTCTGTTTTAATGACGGACGTAATTATGAAACTGGGAAGGCGCTTGCTCAGAACATGAAGTTGGATGGCGGTGATGTCGGCGTCAGCCATTGAGGCCTCGGGGATCCAGTAGCGTAACCTGTCAATAACCAGGGAGCCCATAGGAACCGACGGCAGTAACTGGAGGAGGCATCTTGCGATGCCGCTCTGGAGAGTCTTGAAGGGGACATCCACGGGAGCAGAGGGAAGAGCGGTGAACGAGTCGTAGACTTTGGACATCTGCTGAAAAATGGAGAGCCGATAGCCAGGGCACCACATGTATGCAATCACATAGTCGTCCCCAGTTTCAATATGTGCTAACTCGTCTCGGAGCCATTGGAATTCGTCAGAGCGGATTGCACGCCGCAGCATGCTGGCCCCACAGAGAATCTCGAGCGAACGGCATCGGACTGGGAGGCCGAGGGACTTGAGGTGGCGCATGGCCTTCGGAGGGAAGGAATGCCGAGAGGCACGTGGGGGGAGCTGATGAACTTCCATTTCCTCATTGAGTAAGGCCTTGTTCGGGGGTTAGAACTGGCCGACGTGCGAGACGACAGGAAGGGCGTTGACATTGTAGCCCTGCAGCGACTGGATGAAACTGAACCCTCAACTCCGCGCCTCCTCGGTCCTGGAACGAAGCTTGACGCGAACGGGTTCCCAGGCTCGGTCTCGGCCACCATTCCCGACAACAATCCCAAGAAGCTTGCCAGAAGACTGAATCCTGAAGGCCCTGGCGTTCAGCCCGAGGACACGAAACTTCCGAATGGTTTCTTCATCCGAGGAGGCGTGGAGCACAACGATCGCACACTTGTTCAGATTCAGCGCGAGACCGGCGATGAAACCGCATGCGACGAGACGCTTCATCACGTGGGGCAGCGAGCGAAGCAGGTCGCGCGAAATCATATAGATGTTGTTAGCGAACGCGCCCAGCTCGAAATGGAGCACAGGCTTGAGCTGGAGCACGCGCCGCAAACCTGGATCTAGCGCGAGCGCGAACAGTGCGCCACTCAGTGGGCAGCCCTGTTTCATCCCCCGCTTGGCCCAATATCCATGACTTCCCCAGTCCCCAAGGGAAATGAGCGCCCAGACGTCCCGGCACATCTGAAAAATCGCTTGCCTGATCAAACTCGGGAGGCCCACGAGGAATATCCAAGAGTGGTATGCGCTCGGGCAAGCATTCTGAAAATCGAAGAGGGCGAACCCGCAGCTGAGCTCACGCTGCACGTGCCCCCAGAGGGAGAGCAGGCCATCCATGTTTATGATGTTATCATTCATCATCCGACCACGTACGAAACCACGCTGGACAACGTGACAGCGATCGGCGGCGACTTCGTTGAGGACGCTGGTAATTGCATTGCTAACGACTTTGTTGTCAGCGTTGGAGAGAGAGAGAGAGAGAGAGGACGAACGGCATTTGGGTCTCAGACTTCCCCCCCCCCCGATTCACCAGATCACATTTCGGTAAAAAACGGCACGACAATAATTGAACCCTGCGGTGAGCGGATGGCCTTGCACCACGCGCAAGTGGAGATTATATAATACTGAGCGAGCGCTAGGGCCTGACTTCTGCCAGACCGAAGATGGGGCGCCATCGGGGCCCGCAGAAGAGTCCTTCTTCCGATCCACAAGCTCGAGGAACTTCGTTTCGGAAATAAAGAACCCAATCGAAGTGCGGGTGGGTGCTGCTAACATATTGCTCGGGATTCGCCCCGATTTACGGGACAAACGCGAACAAAGGATGGGCCTCGGGGATCGGGGCCTCGTCGGACTTTGTAGACAAAAAAAACTTACCCCCGAAGTCTCCAAGAGCCGCTGCAGCCTCGCTCGGGTCGACGAGCACTTCTTGCGGTGGTCCGAGAACGCCAACAAGACGAATGCGCGAGCGCTGAGCCGCCCATGCCGCAGCGAGGCGCCGCGCGCGCTGGATCGCAAGTTCTGCCGCGGCCTCGCCAGCCTTCAGGCCAACTTTGCACTTCCCCTCCTCCTCCTCCCCGAATACTTTCCTCATCATTTCTGCTAAGTGATCATGAAATCCGTCATGGTCCAACCGCCCCAGCGCAGCGGGATCGCAGAGGAGGAGGAGGGCTGGGTAGCCGCGACCGGCACGCTCCGCATGCAACTGACTGCGGGCCCTCTGGGCTCGGACAAGCTTCAGCATGCAGGCAACCTTCTCGGCCAGGGGGGTTGCGCCAGAAACTTCGACGTGGCGTCGGACCTGCTTTGCTGCAACGTGGGCAATCTCCTTGATCTCACTGGCCGCGAGCGCTGAGTCCAGGGAGAGTTGGACACTGTCGAGCACCCCTTCCACACATGCTGGGAACTCGCTGCGCCTGGCGACCCTGGAGGGGGATGGTCTGCGCGCTTGCCTCGGAGCCTCTGGGCGGCGACAGACAGAGGAACGTGGGGACATGGTCAGAGGGTTCACGGCGAGCGGTGATCTCCCAGATGACACCCGTGCGGCGCCGATAGTCGAGGAGGATGGGGTCGGCGATCTTGGTGTATATTCGGTCGATCCAAGCGAAAGTATCACGATCTCGGACTTTAGCTTTATGGGTGGACGATGGTTGTTCAACTTTTGCAAACCTCGGCAACACTTGATCAAAAACTGCAGCTAGTCTGGAGGGACTGTGCGGAGATTGAGGAGGTTGGAGGTAGTATCTGGATCCCCCGTGTTCGTGGAAATTGAAGTCCCCCAACGCAATGCCGAGCGGCTCGGCCAGCGGGGCAAACTCGGGCGCGACCTGGTGCAGGTGCCTCTTGGTCTGGCCCTCGCTCCACTCGGGGTCAAGGTGGACGCCGACAATTTGCAGGCGGCCTCGGGGTCCTGCACAATTGACCCCGAGGATCCTGCCAGGTGCTATCACGAACGGTAAAACGGCAGCGAAGTCTTTGACCATGGAATTGCGAGCCGGGAAAACGATGCCTCCCGCGCGTGCGCCCCTTGGGTAAAGCCCCCGAAGTTGCGGAAGTCCAGGTAGTCCCGGGAGAGGGTTTCGAGGTCTCCTTCGCGACCGTGGGTTTCCTGTGCACAAACGACGCCAATCTTCCGCGGCAGCCTGGCCAATGCTTCGATTTTTTCCTAATGGCAAGAGGGCTAAAGTGGAGCGAACGAAACAGAGCCCGGGCATTCCAGGTGCAGACGCGAAGCGGTCTATGAATTACAAAAGGCGCTGACTGCGGGGGCTCAGAAGCTTCAGAAGTCGCAGAGCCGCTGGAACTTTGCGACGAGGGCAAGGAAGACGCGGAAGAGAGCGGGCAGCCCTGGGTCGAAGCAGTAGAAGCGATCGGACACGGTCCTCCCGTAGATGAAGACGTCCGCGCCCCCGCGAGACAGGGTTCTCCATCGGAACAAAGATCACTCGCACTGTCCATGTGCATATCATCTGACGTTGTGCGCGGCGGGGCGTCCACCTAGATGTAGAGTCCCCTGAGGTTGATGTCTTTCATGCTTTCGTCGATCTTGTCCATCTGGATGCCGAAATGTTCGCGCGTCTTCTCGTCGACGTCGAAGGTGAAGGCTGCGTGGTTGACATCCGAGCAGGCGATGTGTGGCCACGCGTCGTCGCCATCGGTCCAGTGGTCGGTACCCTTGTAGCCCATGACGGGCTTGCACTGCGCGGTGTTGTGCTGACCCTTGGAGAAGAGGGCGATGAGTGGGTCCCAGGCTTTGCTGAGCGAGCGCTGGATCACCTTCGCGTCCTTGGGCAAGTCAGTTCTGGCACGAAGTGGATTGGATGTGTTGTCGCGCTTGTCAACCCAGGTGGCCTGGCTGGCGTTGAAACGCTCGGTGAAGTCGTTGGCCATCGCCTCGCTGGTGAAGTTGAGGCTGTAGCTCTGGCTGGTACGGTGGAACTGGGGGACAACATTCTGCAACATGACGTCCGTCATCACGTGTGTCTTGACATTCTCGAAGTGGGCCTTGCGGGCACTGGCGAGCAGTGGCCGAGGGAACGTGCCAATCCATCTCCTGCAACGATCATGCTGGTACAAGCGTGAAGCCTCTGCCGACGAAGCGGGGTCCGTAACTCGCGCCATCTTCGAACGTGGTCCCAGGGAGACTCGAGATGAAAAGCTGGTGGATGAAAGCGGCGGAGCGGCTGAACTCGCTGCATCGGTTGGTTGACTTTGGAGACTCACGATGTCGCTCTGCTGCTTCTGAACCGTTGCCTGCAACTCTGCTACGGTGGCGGGGACTTTGGCAAGCTCTGCCTGCTGCTGGTCCATCTTGTTGTTGATCGTGGTGCCCATGGACGTTATCTGGTCCAAGACCGCAGTTGTGATGCCGGTCGTGATGGACAGGAGCTGAATCTGGACGGACTGGTTGACGACGGCTTGGGCCTGCGACATCATCTGATCCATTGAAGGGGCCATGACTGTGTAAAGGTGGGAAAGGGGGCGAGGTGTCCGCCAGCGCACGGCACGCTGGAAAGCTCTGAAATGAGCTGCCCGCTCGCGATGTGCGAAACCATCTCGGGCCAAAATGGCACCGGAGGAGGACAACGAGGAGGAGGAGGAGGAGGAGGAGGAGGAGGAGAAGGAGGAGCAGGAAGAGGAGGAGGAGGAGGAGGAGGAGGAGAGCAGCGGAGAGCAGCGGCAGGACGTCGCGTCGGCCAGGCCAACTAGACGCAGCACAGGCGGCCAGGGGGCCGCAGCCTCAGTGGAGGCCAGTGATGCCGATCACGTCGACGGACGCGAAGGGCGGCGCGCTGGGGCCAGACCGCCGCGCAGCGCCGTGCGGCGAGCCGCTGGGGCCAGAACGCCACGCAGCGGCTGCCCGTGCCAGGAGAGGCCTGCGTCCCGCATTCCACGGCACCGAAGGCGCTCTGAGCGGGCCAATGGGCGGTGGCTGCCCTTCCCGCCGCAGCTCGGCCAGCCACGTCCGCAGGCGCACGTAGTCGTAGCGCCGCATGCAGTCCGACACGATCCTCTGCGACCGCGTCAGCGTGTGGCGCCACCTGTAGTAGGCCCGCCTCGCGGGCATGCCAGTCCCCCAGGCCCGCTCGCAGATCTCCTCGGCCATCTCCTCGGCCGTCCTCCCACGCGCCCGCAGCCTGGTGGCGAAGCGCGGCTGGGACAGGATCTGCGTGACGTAGCCGACGCAGTGGTCGAGCCACTCGCTGTGGCATTCCATCGTCTCGCCGACCTCGGGAGCCTGGGTCCAGTACCGCGCCCATCCAGCGACCTGCAGCTCAAGCCTGGGCGCGACGCTGCGCCTCGGCTGCGCTGGCTCAGGCCGAGCCACCGCAACTCTGCCAGCACTCAGGGCGGGGCCGCACACGCGGTCGGCACTTGCAGGTCCCCTGCCACCCCTGGTGCTGGCCATGCACATGCCGTCGCGGTCCGCGTCGCTTCCTGGGCTCAGGGCGGGGCCGCACTCACGCGCGCACATTGCAGGTCCCCTGCCACCCCTGGCCCAGGCCGTAATCCGTCGCCGCTCGGGGTGGGTGCTGGTGCTCAGGGCGGGGCCGCGCTCAGGACCGCAGACTGCAGGTCCCCTGCCACCCCTGGCACCAGCCGTAGCTGCACGTGGACACGCCTCCCCAGAAGCCAGCTGCGGCTGCCGCTGGTCCTCCTCAGGCGACGCCGCTTCCAGAGACCCGCTGCCAGTGCCCAGGGCGGGGCCGCACACAGGACTGCACTTTGCAGGTCCCCTGCCACCCCTGGCGCTGGCCATGCCCTTGCCGTCGCGGTCCTCGTCGCATCCTGGGCTCAGGGCGGGGCCGCACTCACGCACGCACATTGCAGGTCCCCTGCCACCCCTGGCCCAGGCCGTAAATCGTCGCCGCACGCGGTGGGCCTGGCTGCCGTCGCCGCCAGTGCCCAAGGTGGGGCCGCACTCAGGGTCGCGGCTTGCAGGCCTCCTGCCACCCTTGTCACTGGCCATGCCTGGCAGCGCCCGCTGCGAGTTGTCAGACCTGCCAGCACTCAGGGCGGGGCCGCACTCGCGACCGCACTTTGCAGGTCCCCTGCCACCCCTGGTGCTGGCCATATCGGTAGTCGAGAACGGCTGCGGCGGGCTGCTCATGTCCTGAGGGCTGGTCACGGCGCCCTCCTGGTGGTCCGTGGTCAGCGTCACCTCGTGTGCCAGGTCACACCTCAAGGGCGCAGGCAGCCGCGACGGCCCCGCCGCCAGACAGGCATCGACCACCCCCACGTCTGGGGCAGCTGGCGGCGGCTGGAGCGTCACCAGTCCAGTGGTGCCCCCGTCGGGGCATTGGTGCGCTCCATAGGCCGAGGGCAAGCTGCCGTCGGCCATGTCTCCCTCATCACGCTGCGCGCCGCTGGCGGCTGCTGGGCCACGTTCGGCTAGCAGGTGCTGCTGCCTTCGCTGCATCCGTTCCAGGAGCTCCTGCCGTCGCACCCGCCAAGCAGGCTTCTTGGTCTGGACTGCGTCGGACCCTCCAGCCCCTGCAGGCACCTCGCGCGTCTCGTGGTCCTGGCCAGGCCTGGTCGCCTCGCCCTGTTCCTTCTGCGCGTGCCTGCCGCTTGGCCGCTCTGCAGCGCCGTCGCCCCCAGAGGCCATGTCGCCCGCGGCCGCGCTGGCCGCCGCTGTGGCCCATGTTCTGGGGCCGTCTGGAGCCTCGCCTGCACCTCCCCAAGTGAGCACCTTTCCTGTCTTGGGGTGCAGCCCTTGGCTGAGCTTCTTGAGCCGCGCCCTGAGGTTGGACAGGTAGGTGCGCTGGTTCTTGCCCTCGGCGCTGGGCGGGCCAGCGCAGGGCGCAGCCAGGGCCAGTGAGGAGCCTGTCGCCGCCCACGCCACGCATACCTCGCAGTAGATGGTGGGCCCTGCGCGCCTCAGCCTGTGCCCCTGCATCTCGATGGTGCCGTCCCCTGAGCCCCAGGGGGCAGGCTCGGCTGGCCTGGGCCCCGCATCTTCGGGGCACGCCGCTCGCTCGATCGCCTGCATAGCGAACTCGCCCGCCTCCGAGACCACAATGGGCTGCGCGCCGACGTGCGCGATGATGGCCTCGGCCCGCAGCGCGGTGTACTGGCTGGCCTCGCAAGCTGAACGCGCGAACTGCGTCCATGTGGGCCCCGTCTGCCCGCTGGTCTGCCTGCAGCAAGCGCGGCACAGCACCACCGCCGTCCCGTTCAGGCGAACCAGGGAGTGGCTGATCACAGTCGCCGCCTGCACCTTGGGCACCTTTGGCGGGCGGGCTGTCTGCTCGGGCGCATCCCAGCGGCCTGCGTGCATCGTCCTCTGCATCGCCCAGCCGACGTACTTTGCCAGGCTCTTGTAGTGTTGCAGCTCGATGTTGTAGAACTCCTCGTACACCTTCGACACGGTGTGCTGCATGGCTCCTTGCCGAGCGAACCAGTCGGCCCACATGTTGCCAGAGTACAGCAGCGGGTGGAGGCCTCGGTCCAAGTACGCATCCATGTCCTGATGCGCGGGGATCCATCTCACTTCAGGCCGCGCTGGCTGGGCACGAATCCGTCTCCACACTGTGGCATGTGCCGCTCGCGCCTCCTCTAGCTCCTGCCCCCAGTGGCTGCATTCCTTCTCCATCGACAGAAGGTCGGTGAAGACGAACTCGAGCTGCGGCCCCGCGAGCCGCAATGCCTGCAGCAGCGCGTGCCTCTCCGCGCGCCCGACCGTCTGGAGCGGCCCTGGCAGCGCCCCGAACGCCGCCCGAACAGGCAGTCCCTGGAGGGAAAGCTGCACGAAGGCCCATCCGCAGCGCCTCAGCTCGGGCATGCTGGACGCGAAGCCTGAGCCATCGGTGAAGACGGCGTTGCTGCAGGAAGCCGTGTCCGCCCCTTGGCTAGGCCAGCAGCCCCAGAACTTCACCTCGGCCTGCTCCGCGGCGGGCGGCACGAATGGCGGCATGCAGGGCAAGCACATTTGGAAGTCGGCGCTCTCGAAGCTGCCGCCCTCCTGCAGGCCTTTGTCGCA